CTGAGCCATGCCCGGCTGGGCCCCCTTGGAAATTTTTAATAGAAAAAGACCTTAGAAATTCACTTTCTGAGAGTATTTGATGAAGTACACTATAATCAGGTATTTTGTATTATAAATTTAAATAGAATAATATGTTTAACATTTTATTTAAAATTATAAATGTTAGCAGAAGAAAACGGTGCAAAGAAACTAGTGCTCTAAGAATGGAAACAAGACAAATTATGCATGTACCAAGTAGGATTTTCATGATTTCTGAAAGCGAATTTCAAGATTCTCAAGAGCACTAACGCTTTGCTCTTAATGGGTACCCATTTGGCAGATCCCATTTGCAGTTCCCTGAAGCATTTGCATTTCTCCACACTTAAGGGGTTTGCCAGACATAAATATGAAAATAAACAATTTCTAATTCAAAGGACTGCCAATTCAGCCCTTGGTATTATACATTTCAATGCTGGATCATTTACTATTGCAACAGTAATTAAAAATAATTCTTTGAAATTGAATTACTTATTTGATGCGCCTTACATTAACTGCAGAACCACCTACTGCACTAAAAATGCACGTCCAAAAGAGGGAGGATATCTTTCCCAGGAAAGCCTGCCACAGATTGATTATTTCTATCTGATGTTACAGAAAAAGCTTCCACAATAGGCACATATCAATGCTGCACAATTCAGCTGGTCCTTCTATGATGGATGCATAATAGATACTTTTGTGGCTGTTCCAAACATTCATGTTCCTCTTCGTCACTCTCCNTAATAGATACTTTTGTGGCTGTTCCAAACATTCATGTTCCTCTTCGTCACTCTCCCTCATACCATAACTCCAAAGACAATGAGCACTTTGCTGCTTTGGAAAAGCTTTGATCTCCTGCAGCATCTAGAGGCAGAACTGAAAAGAAAGAAAGGGAGATGGACAGAAATTTCAGAAAGCAAGCCCAGTCGCTGCTCATTCCCATGCAGAGCATAAAACCATCACCAAGCCAAAGATGAGAATGAATGTAGTTTAATTAATGCAAGAAAAATGGTCAGCGTTTGATGTATTTCTATCAATTATATTAGAGCCACAAGTAAAATTTGGAAGTTCTAGAAAATCTTACATCAGGATGAAAAGTTCAACTCTTTAATATTTTATTGGAATTGAATGTGTTTTATGACAACTGAAAAGATAAATATTCTATTTTCCTTATATTTTTTTGGATCCAAAATGTCAGTGTAAGAATGACGTAAAGAGTATAATAAATAAACACTTTTCTTCCTTCCCATTTAAAGTCCTTGTTATCGCCTGCGGTTCTTCATACTGTCTGTAGATTGTCAATGCTGTATTTGAAACACGATGTCCTGGAAGGTGGTGCTATAATGCAAGATGATTATTTTTGCTACCATAGAAAGGAATGGAAAGTAGAATCCCTCAGTTTATTGCTTGCTGTTTAAAACAAAATGCTATTAAGCTTTCAATACTATGTTTGAGCCTGGCTGGT